AGCCCGCCCCCCACGCCCTCCTGCCCCCCCCCCCCTTCCAGCTCCCTGGTAGCGGCCGCTGTGTTGCCCTCCTCTTGGCTGCCAAGCTGTGCCAGGTGCCCCCTGGAAGGGCCGCAGCCCTTTTCCCAAGCAGGATACCCTGTCTGACTGTCCTCCCCAGGCCGTTCCGCTCTGCTCGTGGCTCGGGGAGCCGGGCTGGTCACTGGCTACGAGCGACAAAGCCCTTGGCTCCCTGGTGGAGCCTCATTAGCCATCCTGGGACCCACCCCAGAAGCAGAGACCAGCCTTGGAGCAGGAGGCCCCTTCCCCACCCCACGCCATGCAAGGAGCAGCGCTAACCTTTTCTCCCACAGGGGAGGGGCAGGCATTATGGGGGGGAAACTGAGGCACAGAATCATGACCAACAATTCCTGCTTTGCCATGGACCTGCTTAAATCTAGGCCCACGTTCACCTGGTGCCGACAGCATGTTCCCGGCTGTGGGGAGTGACCCCATGGGCTGCCTCTGGGTGCCCAGCTATGTGGACATCAGGCCCCAGGGGTCCTTAGAAACTCCTGTGAACCCTCCCCCCATGCCTCTGCTGGTTGGCAGAAAGGTCCCTGGGTCATACACGGCCCCCCTCCATCTCCACTCTCATCTCCTGGCAGTTCCGGTGCTGCGGCTGGAACTCCTACCAGGACTGGCACCAGAACCCCATCGTGGCCAACTCCTCCAACAGACTGTACCCCTGCTCCTGTCGCAACAGCTCCAGCCCTGAAGAGCACAGCGCCAACACCACCCATGTCCCAGCGGTGCAGGGCACTAGTCTACGGGCAGGTGAGTGCCACCTGGGGCAATGCTGGGGAAGCTCGCAGGGCCTGGGGTCCCTAGCTGGGGGGCACTGCTGCAAGGAAGCTCGCAGTATTGGAGAGGCTGGTGGGGTTGTGGGTGGGAAAAGATTTTGTAGGAGCCCATGTTCTGACCCTGCCCCTTTTCCCTAATCTCTTCCAATCAGGGCTGTGCGAACTCTGTCCAGGACTGGCTGGCCAATAACATCATCAGCATTGTGGGCATCTGCCTGGGCATTGCCCTGTTGGAGGTAATGGGACCTGGGGACCTGGCAAGGAGGGGCCACCCCCAGGGTTGGGGGCCCAGCACCAAGGTGTACCGAGGGGGCTGGCTGGGGGGGGCTGATCCCTAGCTGAGCTTGTGGGGGCTTTGGGATCTAGATTCTCCCCCCTCCTCCCCAGCCCCTGCAGCTGCTGTGTCTGGCACTGGCTGGCAGAGTGGGGGGGCGGGGGGTCCGCA